AAGGGGCATAGTATGTCGCGAGCCGGCGACGCAGAGCACTGTCCAGCAGTATCTCAAACCTGAAAGAGCAGCGGGGTGGAGATGGGGCAGAGAGAAAGGAAGGACGCCAAGTCAAGAGTCTGATCAAGGCGACGTTTATGGCAGGCAAGCATCAGCCTTTTAAAGGAAAAGACCGAACTATTATGGGCTAGGATTACCATAGTAACCTCAACACCCGCTCCATGGGAATGAGGGTTCACACGGGAAAGAGAAAGTAGGCTCAAGAAAAACAAATTAACAACACTTGCAACTAATAATCATGATTCCCACAATAGGGGGAGGAACTTAACAAAATGGAGTTACAACACCTGACTCCTACAGATAACGTCAGATCTTTAACAGGAAGCACCTGACTCCTACAGATCTTTGGCTGTCCGAGTTTCTCCCGTGCAGGGTCAAAAACAAGTTTAACACGTGCAGTCCTTAAAAAGGAACAAATGTTATCTTTCAAAAAGCCAGTGGGCCATGGCTGGCTTCCCACAATAGTAGTCCTTTTTTTTTTAAATTTGTTTTTTTGAGACAGGGTCTCAGTATGTAGTTGAGACTGACCTGGAACTCACTATGCAGCACAGGCTGGTCTTGAACTCACAGCGATCCTCCCGCCTCAGCCTCCTGAGTGCTGGGATTACAGGTGTGTGCCACCACACCTGGCTACATAGTAGTACTTTTATTAAAAAATAAAATTTATTTTATTTCATCCCATCCCCCAGTCCTCCTCCCCTCTCTATGCAAAAGCTTTGTTTCATTTTTCCTTCTATTTTCATTTTTTTTCACGTTCCTTCTTTCTTTCTCCTTCTGCTCCTTTGTTCCCCTTCCCATTTCCCAGCATCCATTACACATCTCAGTCATTTCCACATTCAGTTTTACACACCAGAGAAACAATGAGGTATTTAAACATGTGTGTCCAATTTATTTCTCTTTCGAGTATGGTCTCACGTTCCATCCATTTAGCTCTAAATAGCTGAAGCTCATCCTTCTTTATAGCAGAGAGGCACTCCATTGTATTAAAACACCCACATCTTCATCCACTTGTCAGTTGATGGGCATTTGGGCTGTTTTCAAGATTTAGTTATTACAAACTGTGCTGCTAGAAACATGGATGTGCATATATTGCTGTGATAGGATGCTTTTAATTCTTTCAGGAAGATACTAAGTAGAGGTATAGCTTATAGTAATACGTTGCACATTCTTATTTCTGTATATTATTCCACTGTAGAAATATTGCCACATTTAATTATCTAATTTATCCTCTTTTTTTTTTTTTTTGACAGACTCTTGCTATGTAGTTCAGGTTGTCTTTAAATTCACTATGTAGCCCAGGCTGGCTTCAAACTCTTGACCATCCTCCTGCCTCAGCCTCCCAAGTGCTAGGATGACAGGCGTG